GATCATTACAGGATCGACTTAACCATTGAGACGGCAGCATACAGATTCACGAAAATAGCAATCGCCACCCTATGAACACGTTACGCTGTAGGACTAAGCGCTACATGTACAATCCGCCAGCTTACTCGATGGTCAACCACTACCGCCCTGTGGCACACCAAGTATCGACCATCATCGTCACGCGACAAACATACTGCAAGCAGCAGCTCAAGGATGCCCCCCCCCACTGATCATGTTACACCACGGCAAGCATACATCAGCACAGGCACAGTGCAGCTAGCTGGTTACACTACGACTAGACGCTACCAGCGCTACGACCCGAGCGACACACGAATACGATCACAATAATCTGCACACTCAACCAGGGCATCGGGCAGCACCTCACGGGCAGACCAGCCGACTGGCACGCGCGTCAGCTACATCTCGCCTTCTTTACGGCTGCAACCGATGGCATAAGTTGCGCAGAGCAGGCAGCGCGAACTGTTTTTAGCCAGGACACGCACACGCTTGCGCACCAGCTCAAACAGGACAGGGCCAACCACGTCGCAGCCCTGCCAGGCTCCTTGCATCAATTCCACGACTTGCATTAATTCAGAGCAACACGGCAACGCGCTGAAGCGAGACTACGCTATGAACCAGCCACGAGAAGACAGGTGGCTAAAGCATAAGCGATGCTCTACTCCACCGACGACATGGGACATGCACTCGAAGGCGACCAGCAACAAGTCGACGATTGCACCGGGCATGTCGCACGGCAAGAAAAAAAAAGAACACCATCATGGACAACAGTAGTGGAATGTAGAAGTCCTATAACCACACGTGACCTTTGCCAATCACACCGATGCCATTCGATTTCGCGACTGCACAACCACGAACCACGACTCTCACCGAAAACGTCAAGCGCTGGATACCACAGCTAGACAGGATCACGACTGACCTCCTCAATTCCGCACCGACCAGCACAGCAATTCACGTACACCCACCATTCCTGACGGCGTCACTGACCCAGCAGGAGTCTTTGTTCTGGTAAATCAAGGCAAATAAGCCACCCGATATCGGTCGGTCTGACTGGCCTCCGAAATTTCTAGGCTACATTATACCTACCCTGGACAGAGCCTCAACACCCGATCAACAACAAGCATTGAATTCCACGCAATGCGGAAGGCTACCACGAAGGTCCACAGCATTTGCAGCACACTGCAACGATTACGACCGACTAGATCACCAGGCTCAAACGCAATACGATTCGCGACTACCTCGACCTCACAGCAGCATGTCATACACTGGTACGCGAGACGGTATCTCGGGAGCGCACATCTCATCCCGACAGCGCTGCATATCATCAGCACAACGACCTCACACAAGCACTAGAACCATTCGACCAGCACTTCCAATCCCAAAGTATGGAATCTTACGGGGATTGTCTGACTTCACGCGCAAGCACCCTCACCTGACGGATCACCCAACAAAAAACGCACACGATTTGACAACAGCCTTGCAGATGCCATTTACAACCACTCTTTTGCAAGACCACTCTCGACGATCTAGCAGCACCCGTGACAGGTCAAGCATACGTAGTACCGAAGCCGAGGCCATCGCAGCCACTATTCACTACAGACCAACGAACCGGCACAGACGAGGATACAAACGCCACCAACATCGGTTTCGCCGACAACACGCTTATAATAGCGCAGCGCAACGACAGTGAACTACTGGAGTACTACATGATCGAGATGGCTACCACCACGCACAACTCACTGACGAGCTACGGCTTCATGCTCAATTACAAGCCGCGCAAGTCTGCGTTCACCCTGCACCAAGCAAGATGGCACAGACAAGGCCGAACCGAGAGTTTACACCGACAGCACGCCAGCCATCCATCTTCTGTCTCACATGGGACCAGCACATCACCCACACACAGATTTACGACTACCTCGGTACGCACCTCAATCCATCATGTTCAACAATGGACAGCACACCAGTTGCCCCAAGAACGAGCAGCCTTCACACCACTCACAGCGACGCACTTCAAGAACATTTGCTTGCGAGATGACGTCACGGCCTTGTTCGCTGATAAGTTCGCCAAGCGCCTTTTCCCTAGCTGAGACTTGGAACCACTTCATCAAGACGACTACCGCACAGCTCTGCGCAGCTAGAAACCACTCCAGCCGAAGCGCGACGAGCACGCAGCGTCTACGAACAAGCGACTCACATGTGACCGGCCAGCGATTACGCACCATCGCAGAAATAATCGACTACGAGACAGGGCTACGACCACGACGGCTCAAACATATCACAGATTGCAAGACTATTCACCAACGCGCTAAACGTTTTTCCACGACTAATCGGTATCACACATGAACAGCTTCTACCACAAGCCACCACTACTTTGGATACCCGATCCACGTGATACTCTCAGCCCAGCTACCACGATCGCAGACACTGCCGACCCACGAAGACAAGGGCACACGGCACGCTGGCTCGAGGACGCCCACGATGCACCCAAATACTACTTACGCCAGGCCAAAAGGCCAAGGGCAGAACCCACACACACACACACACACACACCTCGCATGTGGACCAGCAGCGCAAAGAAATATGGCAACAGCGTCTACGACGTATAGGTTTCGACAGTGACGACCCTACCCCAGCCCCGCCACAACCGCAATCAGTTCACGCATGCTACGGAAGCGGACACACCCCCAACGCCACTGGGAATTTGAGAGCAGACCGCGCAAATAATCACCCACGGCAATACGATATTACCAACAGGGCCAGCGACAGCACTTGCAAATCTTGCTGGATGTAGTCCCCCACGCGGCAGCGACTCCTGACGCACCTACGATACAGAGTAGCACGTTGCCAGAACTTCCACCTACAGCACATGCCGCTCATTCCAGCCGACATACTAGAAGCACTAAAGCAGAGCGCCAGAAAAGATACACGAGCCCACAGGGACAGGACTACAGGCCAACGCAACAACCCCTCAAGCAATGAAAACAGCTGGTCACAAACGACAAGCACCGGCGCAACTCGACGCACCTATACCGCCAACGACGATTATTGATCCAGAACAGGTAGCCCGCCAGCCCCGTAGCGACAACAAGAGCAGCCTTGTCCACAGGCTTTTCTTGTTCCAGAACGACAGGCACTGCAACGTCCCCCAACAGCACCTAGAGAACACCCACGCCACACAGAAATGGACTTGCATCAGCACAGCATTGGCTACGAAGCAGACGCACCGCTTCACATTGCACGTCTAGGTGCAACGGACACCTGGGCCCATCGCATCATCCAAGGGCAGGCGGCGGCCATCAGAGCCAAACCACCTGACGACTCCTGGACAGCTAATACGACACCACGGACGACTTCCCAGCTTCGGGGCACACCCAATCAATCGCCCAACATGTGTCGAGTACCTCACAGCCGGCAGCTAGCATCACGCTCAGAAGGCATCGATGTCGATCAATGCGCGTGAGATAAAACAACGAAGGCACCTACACGGGCCCTATCGTTGCACCTGCCCACGTTGGCGACAGAAGCTTCCACCACACAAACAGAAGCAGCTGCACGTGTCTATCCCCGCAACCCATCATCCCTACCACCAAAGATGGACACATACAGCATACAAAGATACCTCTGCAAACTGTTCGGACACAATATAGCCATATAGCCATAGGACCCACCCGCTATACGGAGGCTACGACACCCCGCGACTTCACAGGGCACATCCCCCTGATCCTTAGTTTTCACCACCACATACCACTCGACCTACGCATGTCATATGCGACAAACGACACATTTCACACGAAGCATTAGTGAACTTACAAGCAGAACTCAGTTTCCTGCAGCGACCTCGCATGACACTGAGTCACACACAGGGTTTTCTCATGGGGCTACACAACGCCAGCACGCCTACCACGACAAGCACAGGCCACGGGCAGGACGAAGAGTATAACGAGGAGGGGTTCCGTTGTCAGTTTGGGTTGAACTTGTTTGGTTCGAGGCCGTGTTCGGGAAAATCCGATGTTCGAGTTCAGCGCCGTGGTGCCAGGATCTTTTCTCGAGGCCCCACGGGCGCCTGCCCAGGCAGGGGCGGTTCGTTTTCCTACTTGGGTCCCGCATTACTGTATGGGCTGCGCCGCGCGCTGGCGTACCCAATTGCGCACCATAACGTCCCCATTCTTGTTACTCCCGATGAACAGCGATTGATGGCAGTGCAGAGGCTGTGGCAAAAATGCCGTTAATTATGCGTGGTAACGTGGCAACTGTGGCGACAAGCGGGCGCAGCCACGTCAGCAGCGAGACCCGAGTCTCAGGCGACGCTCGCCGGGCCGCTCGAGGGCCCAAGCCAAAGAGCGTCACGACAACGTGAGGAAGGGGCACACATTCTACTCGCAAGTGACAGGCTGGTAGAAAAAGTGTCCATGTCCGATGTCAATTCCGCGCTGCAGCCCGATGATTACGCCCCCACCGGCGACGACGGCACAGATCGAGGCACGCCCGCCGCAACATGAATGCACTCGCGACATTCGTCCCCGCTACTGGGAAGAGCAGAGCGCACGACCCCAGGGCATTCTGAGTGTGGAAGCATTATAGCTATGCACTGGAGCCACCAGGGAACTGGGTGGCCCGCGCAGAGGCGGCGTTCGAGATGGTACGGGGCAGCTTCGGCTCTCCATTTGACGAGGACCGACAAAAACTCCCAATGCCGAGAACTACTTGGGGGAGGAGTATGACCCCCAGGGATCTCCAGAACCCGCCGAAACCCGCAGAGGGCCTCAGCGACGACAGTGACGACGACAACGATGACGACGACGACGACGACGACGACGACGACGACGACGACGACGACGACGACGACGACGACGACGACGACGACGACAACGACGACGACGACGACGACGACGACGAAGGACGACCGACGACCGACGACCGACGACCGACGACGGACGACGGACGACGACCGACGACCGACGACCGACGACGGCGACGCCGAGGAGACACGCCCGCCAGCTGCGGGGGCGCTCCGCGGCCAGGGTCGCCGCTGCGCGTCCGCGCGGAGGCCGCCCCCCTCAGGGGAGGGGTGGCCCTCGGAGGCTGCGACAGGCCTCGGGTCCTCTGCTGCGGAAGAAAATAGGGAAACAGAAAGTGGCATAAGCATAAAAATTCGGAGGTCCGCGCGGATTTCTCGGATCGGCGCTGGGCCCCCCTGGCGGCGCCTCCGGCGCCGCCCATGGCGCGCTCCGCGCGCCAGGGAGGGGGGTCCAGCGCCGATCCGAGAAATCCGCGCGGACCTCCGAGTTTTTATGTTTATGTCACTTTCTGTTCCCCTAGAAAAGATCCTGGACGTCGGGCGGATTGATCTGCCCAATCCCTCAACAGCCCCCTAAGCCAGGGCACTGCTAACCAGGACTCCTTCCAGGTTCACCTGGGGGAAGCAACCATGGGGAAGGCTTCGACGCGCGGCTGCAGATTTCTCGGGCGCGCCAATGCCATGGTTTAGCAGAAAGTGCCCGCTTGGGGGGGCATGGATCCTTTCAATCCTGGCAGTTGTCCTTGATGTCGGCCTCTGGGGACCGCTTCTGGGCCATATTAGTTGGACTGCCAAAAGTTGGTCCACTTCGAGACTTTAGGAGGCCGCGGGTAGGAAAGTTCACGTCGTCGGATGCCAGACATTCTTATCGAGGTTCGTGGATCGAGATTCGTCGTTGTTGGTTCAGCGTCTGGATGACCAGAAGCTCGATCTGGGGTGAAAGAGCTCCTGGGATGGATCCCAGAAGGGGCATGGGGGCCAGTCTTGAGCGGATGTTGTAAAAGCTGGGGACCGCATCTGTTCTTCACCTTGAATGTTTTCGCCTAGTCTCGAGTCCCCCGACCCTCGCGGGTCGATCTTTTCAGACAGGCTCGGGAACGGGATACATCGCTCCAGAGCGATCCGCAACGCTCTGCAACGGCCGCGGCGCCCGATACATCCTCCAGAACCGCGGGACCTCAGAGATCGCCGAATTATCCCGATATGATGTTGTTATGTTCCTTGCTTCGTTTTATCTTGACACACGGGTAAATGATGGCGGCTAATTTGCCATTATCGTTCCGACATGGCTCGTTCTGCTGGAGTTTCTAGTCGCTTTCTGGTCAGGGCGCGCCCCAAGGAGAGGTCTGGGCCGCAGACCTCCCCGAGGGCGCCCACATCCTGGTCCTCCAAGTCCTGGTCTTCCAAATCGACCGAGAATCTGATTGGAATCGCAAGGCGTCATGCTGGGGGTCGGGTGGGGAGCCGGCATCTCGATGAACATAACCGAACTGGCTATGTTTGAAGTGCACAGAACATACTAAAATAGAGGAGGATCGAGCGTAACATAACACATCGCAACATAACTTCGGATAATATGATAACATTGAATCGAGCACGCTAGTCAAGCATAGTACACCGCAGCTCAATGTGTAACATCAGACACGTGGGCAGAACAGTGTAGGAGAGACCACAGGATAACAGGGTAGACCACATCATGTTATCAATAGTTGCCGAAGAATAGAGCAGGTGATATTAGATCATGGCATACCATGGCATGACTACATAGTACATACCAAAATGGTGAACCTTCTGAAAGAGAGCATATATGTGTCTGATCGAATTAGACAGATCAGAACAGGGCAGAATGGAGCAGACAATAATACAGGAAATCAAAAGTGCCCATTATATATTACGTTCTGGTACAAGAGCTCAGTACGTAGCAGAAACTACGATGAAACAACACATGTCATACTATAACGCGCCAGCATAATATTGCAGAGGAGAGCATTATATACCAGCACATGCCGTATTACTTCATCGTAGAAGGGAATTGTTCACGCCAGAATAGAAGATGCCATAATCGGACATATAACATACACACAACTACCATGTAATAGATCAAGATGCCTTCTGTCACCATTTTCTCCGCCACCATGTCCTCAGTATCATCTGCCATTTGTTGTACGCAGTGTGTTAGTAGGCGCGCGCACCGTTGGGGGCAAGCGCCGAAGGTTGCGGCGCGAATCGCACGAATCACAATCATTATCGATGTAGTATCCTATCGATGTCCACCACGTTGCTCTCCGCATGCGTGCTATCGAGTTATCCAGATATCTGGATACGAGGTATTTGAGATAATACCGGGGTGAAGAGGTTTTCTTTTACGCGTCCTTCACCCCCGTCGCTCCTTGACAGCGATCCCCTGCCCGGGTGGCTGTTGTCGTGGAAACGGGCGGGAGAAGAAGGCTTCCCTTCTTCCCCCTTTTCATCCCGTTCCCCCCTGTCGCCTGGAAAGGGCACCCACCCCAAAACAGTCACATGATGCGCTTCGTGACTGTTCTGGGCGGGCCTGAATTGTTTGAGTTCCAGAGGATGAGCGAGCGATGCTCATGGGAGGGCGACGAATGGACACGGCGATATCCGATAGCGGGGCTGAACATCTCGATATCTCAACGTCGACCCCGCCCCAGATGTCGAGACTTCTATAGGCTTACGCCACATCCGCCGACCCCTATATAATATATTGCGCCTCCTGGACTGCATTTCACGAGGCTTGTCCGAATCATGACACGGCGTTCGAAATCGTTATTGTTGCTTCGCTGCTGTTATCGTACCTATTGGTGCTCTTTTGTGGCCTTTTGGTTGCATCTTGGCATGTCTGCAAGCCATATCCAGCCGCCTCGAGGCATCTTGGACCAAGTTCTGGGGTCTTTGGGGGCTTCATGGGGGCTTCTTGGAGGCCTTTGAGGTTCTCTTGGGGATCCCGCGGGGCCTCTTGGGGTGTTCTTGGTGCAGGCTGGTGGCGTCTTGGGGCCAGAGCTCAAGATGGTGACCTCTGGACTCCCTCTTGGAGCC